TTCAGTAGTCCTAATAATATTTTGAATTTTGAATATTTAGTGTATATGCTAGCTTTATCTTTATTTGATTTTACATTCGTTTTTTATCGCATCAAGGCAGATAAAATCAATGTGCCTGAATGTTATTCGGTATTAGCAAAATAGTAGTTTTGAGCAAACAGCGTATTACCGAAAAACTTGCATCGATAAGTGGAGAACTCAATAGAAGTTTAAATTTCGCAAGTTGGAAAGACTTTGGATAACCTCCCAAATGAAATAATTACTTTGACGCTTTACTTTACTAGCGAAACATTTGATTGTAATAAGGTACATTTTTAATGTTACAAAGGCAGAATGAGAACTGTAGAAAAACGTGTTTAAAAAATATATTTTTTCAAATTTGACACAATTAAAATATTATATGAATATTTCTTCGGGAATGTATAGGGTATAGTTGTTTACTTGAAAATAACTTTTAGATGTTGAACTTTTTTATTTTATTTGGCAAATCTTGTTGGTATCGACAAATATTGATCTAAAACAAATGATTAAACTCATACGCATTATTTCAAGATTAACATTCGATTTTGTTTGGTCATAAATTTTAAAATAAACACTGGGTGAAAGAAGCCTTTATTCGTATCAAATTTTAGGTATAAACGTATAGTCAATATCTCGTGTCATATACCCATGACTCACCTTGCAGAGTTCGTTACAATTTCGAGGACACAAAGATTTCAACGAAAGCAAGATGACTTTAAAATAATTCGTCTTCGGCACTCGACGAGTCGCACATAAATTAAAATTAATAACCGCAAAATTGGGAGAAATTCATAAATTAATGCGTTTAGGTCTAAAATATGAAAAATGGCGTGGTTCCAAATCGCGCCTACCAAATCAACTTGCCGACGATAAATTCAAACGAAAAATCTATACTTCCTGCCCGTATACATGCCGGAAAATCGTAATTTTGATTTAAAATTACGAATGTTCGGTAGGTGAACAATTTCTGAATGGTGCTCGCATTTTAAAGGCGAGATTTATTTTTCGTATTTTTGAATTTATGGTGTGTTCGGAGCTAAAATTCATACAAAAAGCTGTTTTTGTCAGTTAAATTTAATCATTAAGTTATTAATCTTACTAACATAATTATCCACTGTGAGAAAATTTTTCGCTTGCGCTGATAGACATAACTGCCCGAAGAAAGCAGGTAGTTAAAATTGTAGAAATAGTAAATCAATATTTGCACTTTGATTTAATTAATATTTACAAAAAAAACTCCAAATTGCATTTCGTAATGTAATTTTGTATATGCTATGCCGAATCTATTAATTTAATGTAATTCTCTTTAAAAAAGATTATTTTCATACTCCTCAATAATCACTGTATTGTAAAAGTAGTAATAAAGATCAATAACGTAGTTTCACTTAGATTTTAATTATCATACACAATTTGAAGCCTTCATAAAGTGTCACTTTAAGATGCAATGCAATGCAACAAGATTATTACCTAGAGTTTCGGAATTTAAATTCAGGTAAAATTGTGGTCCGTAATAGAAAATAATTTTATACCTACCTGTGTTTAATATTCTTTGGTTTGGTATACTACTTAGTTTGAGTTTATTAGTAATCATTCTTATTTCGTGTGTAAAACAGCGTTATGCAAAATATGTGCGAGTCTAGTGTATCTCAGGAGATGCTCCCGCCCAAATGTAGAAAACACTATTCTATTGAAACTAAGGAAGTTATAAACAATGTATATTTGATTCTCATTGAACGTGGTGCCAGCAAGCAAGCATCTTTAGAAGAAACGGCCACATTGACGAAAATTACAACATCAACTGTATGGAAAATTGTGAATGATCCCATTTCAGCGAGGAAAAAAAAGAAGCGATGCTGACATTTTCTCGAGTGTAGATGAAAGTAATCAAGATATAATACGGCGTAAAATTTACCAGTTATACGAGTAACAAAGCGTGCCTACATTAAATATCTTAATTAGGAGGCTTGAAAAAGATGAAACCGGATTACACTAAAAAGCAATTAATTGAGGTTCTACAAAGGAATACATACGTCTGTGATAATTTTCCCCGTGTTAACTCCAATGTCCTCAAACTTATAGAAACAGATGATTTTAACATCCTTCCATAAAGTTGGGCAAATTCTGTTAAACATATAGATAAATCAGAACAATCAGATATCCATATTGCAAATAATATAGAACAAATAATGATTAGAACAGGCGATAATAGCGATAGTGATACTGATATATTATATGAATAACAAATAAATATTGTTTAGTATCTTTCCTAACAAAATCCCAAATAATTAAATTCTAAGCAAAGTAAGGACCTGTTCGGCCATATTTCATTCTTACAGCTTGCCCGGGTCTTTCCTTAATTCGTATCAGTTAGTCACTTTCTTATATCTATGAACAGACCAAACCCCCGATCGCGAGTCACTTCCGGCATTCCCGGGACTTTAGAAATGGGTTTGAGAGTGGATGTTTTGGCTAGATTGAGACCGAGTTATTGAGCTCTTATTCGGCCATGCAATGACGTGACGTTGTATTTTTTTTTTTTGGAAAATTGTTATTTTGAAAATATATCAGAGACCGCTTTATTCAATAGCACGATTGATAGCCTTTTAACAACTTCAAAATGATTTGAGCTTCAACTGCGGATCCCATAATACGTCCTTCCACGTTGCCCTTATTATATTGGAAACGTAAATAACAAGAGGCATAATCAAATAACAGATTGGCTCACATCTAACGAAAGAAATGTGGAAAGACAACTTGGTGTGAAAACCAAGGAGCGAAACTGAGCAACAGGTAGATAAACAAGGAAATTCCTACTCGTGCGAATAAGAAGAAAAAGAAAAAAGAACAACCGGTTAAATAATTATAGTTATTAATATCGAAATTAACCAAAATGTAACTCACTAATTTCCGCAAGATTTTAGCATCTAGATAATTTTACATGCGTCAAATCAAATACATAGAGTACCTACCAAAAAGTGAAATAAGGGACTCAAGGTTACTGAATGCAGGTTGAATTACGGGATCACCTGTTGCTGCTACACTTTGTTTAGGAGGTCAACCACGCATAAATGAACAACGATAAGAACGATTAATAATTCATTTTAATAAGTAAAGTTTTCACAGACAAGCTTTGACCAGCTTCCGATTTGATGTTTGTCTTTATTATTAGATAGAAAGTTCGGCTCTACCATGGAAAACTATTGCTCGTATCCTAACAAGTTCCAACTCTGCGCAAAACGTCACTTAGCATCAAATATTGGAATTGCACACGCCCGGAGAACTTCCCGTGGCAAACATAAAATCCCTTGGGATTGCGGTTGACGATAGAAAGTGGCCGAAGCCGTCATAGGAGTGTTTCGAAGTCATATAGCAGATAAAAAATATTTCCTTTACGCTGTATTCGTATATGTAATGTACATACGCAGGGAGTTAATCAATTTGTTTGAAATCCTGTTGTTAATTTAAGGGGATTATCATCCGACGCAGTTTTAACGTCAAGCAACTCCCAGCTCCAGCTAATGTTTATTTCCGAAATAAAAAATCCTCAAAAATCTGAATGAATTATTTTCCCGTTTAGCTGAAGTTTGGTGGTGTAAGAAAGAATCGTTACTTCATATTTGGAATCAATTGTAAAAGGAAATTCATCAAAATAATTTTGCTTAAATTTAGTTAAGAAGATTGATAGGGGTAGTTAAATTCGATCCCCTCCAATTATTTAGAAAAAATATGCACAACTTGGTAATAGTAATACTTTGGTAATATTTTACAGCTCTATTTTCCTTTTTCCGTTATATTTGTAACGCGATATCTCGCAAGTGGTTGACATTTGACTCAACATTTTATTTTAAATAGAGAAACATCCCCTCAAGTTTTCCGCATTTGTTTTAAAGCACTCTTTATAAAAATATTATTTCGTTAGTCAATTTGGTGTGTTTTTGCCGTAAAATGTGTTTATTTAAGAAAATCATGTATTTACAATAAATTTTAGAATTGTCCACCATCCATTGCCAGGCACTTACATATGTTTTTTTAACTATTACAAACTCTATACAAGAAACGTGGGGTTACAGTGTTAAAAGTGTCTTTAATACGCATTTTATCTGATGCGGTTGGAAACGGGTTGAAAATCAACATAATAAACCTATTAGTATTAAGCCTTGGGTTCTGGAATTTTAGAACTCGTGTCTTTCATTAAACCTGTTTTCAAAATTGGTATTTAAATTTGTCCTAACTTGGCGATGATATTGAGCTCCATCTAGCGGAAGGCACATCGTTGTTCTAATATTTAAAAACAGATTTGCAACAACACAGGAAGTTTACATTACAAAGTAGAATAACCCTATGGTGAAATGAGGCAAATTCCACAAGCAACGAGATACAATGAAACAATGAAATAATTTCGAGAATTTTTCGAATACGCAAAGAGTCAGCTAGACCCCCGAACACAATTAGATAGGTAATTGAAAAGTTCATTCCTTCGTAAGTTGTTCCCTTTAAATTAATCAAGTTATTGCCATTAAAATTTTTGAGTTTTTGTAGTTAGACATATAAAATATGATATGTTGTTGTTACACTCTACTATAAATTTGGCTGACATAATTTAAAAACATCTTATGTATTCAAAAAATTAAAAATTAGATGAAACTTTGACAACACAAATTATATTCAAAAAAGCCCTTACGATTTAGGTATGATATAAAATTAATTTTAAAAAGTAACTATAATATTACTTCACATATCTCAGAAGTAAAACTTTTTGAAAACCTTGTAATTTGTCGATGTATTCCGTGTCTCTATAATATGAGAATAATTTTAAAAAGTACCTATAATAGACCTCCGCATATTTTATATGTTGAATCTGTTATTAATTCTTTTTTTCTTCGTTTTTACTTACTGTTTTAATAAATAAACCAAAATCTAAAAATATTTCCGCTGGAATATTGTTCGCTCTAATACTTCAGTTTCAATTCGATTTTCAGTTAGCAAGGAGCAACCTTTCAAAGACAAATGTTTCCTCTACCGATTCTGGCAGGACGAAGAGGGCGCGACGGCGTTACCCCCGTTGGAGGATGTGGCAACCGCCCAGGAACAGATACAAGACCACTTGGGTACACTGATTAACAGAGGTCCCGACGCTTATTTACGGATGATCCTACGGAAACCGTAAGTGTACCCCTCGTGATTTATAAATACTGTAAAATATCTCATCAACAGACACTCAACTCTCAGAGGGAAAACATTACAAAATATGTATGCTAAAATCGAGTGATTTTAATATAAAAATGCGGAGCAAAAAGGCATATTTTCCTATAAAAATTATATAGCTCAAGCGACTATGAGATTTTCCTACCTTCCTTTAATCTTGTTTTTCACGTACCCTGTATTAATATGCATCGAAATTTCTTATGCAATTGCCTACAACAAAACTTACTCCACTAAAACAATAAATGTTTCCGAATAAAGAAATTGGCAGATGTTTTATTTCTCGCAAACGTCATTTTTCGCATATAAAATAAAAAATGGCAAAAACGGTTAGATAGATTCGATTTGTTTAGCCATTTTTTACATAAAAAGTGCTTACAACAAATGGCGCGTCAGTAGTACAAAAGAAAAAAGGAATATTTACGCTGACAACTTGTGGTTGTGGATAAATAAATCGTATAAACTCAAGATAGAAAAATAGAAAAATTCCATGCATGAAAGCAATATGACAAAATATACAATAGACATACACTCTAAAAATACAATACATAAATTATAAAGTGTAAAAACGATGAAATCTTAAATTTAACAGAAAACGTAAATATCGGTAGATAATAAAACATACGTTGATTTAAAATTCGTGTTTGGCCGACTTTGGTGTAAGACATTATGCACAAAATATGTCTAGAATTTTGCATAGAATTCAAAAATGATGTAATATGCAATTAGAAAGTTAATATTCGCCACGAAAAATTAAACACCCTGTATATACAAAATTAAAATAAATTAAAGGTTTGTAATACCCCAATTAACTTTCGTATGTAACTTTTGTACATCTAGCAGATATACATCTAAAAAACATAATACATAACTATGTCATAGGCGTATTATAGGGATGCAGTAATTTGGTAAATGACATTACAAATAACAAAATGGTTATAAATTAATTAAGATTTTACAATTTATATTTAAAATCGATAACTTAAAAAATACAAAACTTCTCAAAAGTTAGTTTCCACAATGACCGTTAAAGCGACGGTGAATGGAATGAAAATATTTTCGTTCGTTAAAGAGCCAGCAGTTCATAGAAATTTCTCTCTTGAACGGGGATTACAAACAGATCTATCACTGTAACGCTCTTCGTGGCAACGTAGTTAAAGCAAACAACGAAAATAGACTCTTCGGCTTGTGCCGATACAGTGGGACCGATTTGAATAGAAATCACAGTCTTGAAAGAAATAAAACATCTCCTAGGCATTCGGTCAAAAATAATTTACAATCTTGAACACAATTTTATTTTAATTTTAAATGTACTACGCTATATAATTTTTTCCATTCTTAAAAATGAATAGTTAATTATTTATCTGACTGATTTTTATGTTTCAGGAGCCACGAAAGGACAGTCGACGACATAGAAACCATTTACGAGGAACTCCTGCATATCCGAGCGCTCTCTCACTTATCCAACTCAATCAAACGAGAGTTGGTGAGTGTCATAGTATTCGAAGCCCATTCGAAAGCTGGAACAGTGCGTAAGTATTTCTCAAAGAATTCCCATAAAATTGTTTTTACACGTTGGTTTGCAAATTCGTCCCAACCGATAATAACTAATCCTATAGATATCGCGAGCCGCGCAATCTCTCACGTTCTGCAGATTAATTTTCTTGTTTCCTGCTTTCCACACTCGACAACACGTGTTTGATACTAAATCGCCCGGAACTCTGTTAAAAGTTGTCACGAACTCCGGTAAATCTTGCTTTTCGGAGAGTTTTTATTACAATAAATCGAAATAGTTCCCCTCCAACGTAATTGATTGCACAGGGCGTTATGTTGTTACTCAACTTGGAAGAAATAGTTTCTCGATAAAATATAATAAAGTTCTAATAATAATATATATGTTTTAAAAAAACTTCCGCTATTTATAAATCTGCTGGTTTCCTTCCGCGTTGAATTTTTGTTATTTTTAATTTGGTTTGATATAATTGGGAAAGGAAGCTAGAAAGACAAAAAAGGGAACAAATAATTTTATCTAGACTTTTACCAAGCAAGAATTTATTTACAAAACTTCTGGTTTGCTCTTGCGTCGGTTTTTAATAAATCAAACTTGCTGGCGTTTCGCCAATCATTTGGTTAACTTCTTCAGACCTTAACTGAAAATGGCTCGCATTCTACTTTATACTTGTTTATATACTATTTGGTGGAGCGGATGACTGTTTGCCGTATAAGTAAAAGGCAAAGACCTGAGTGACGATTCTGGAATTTTTCTTAGGTTACATGCAAGAATTTTAGTTTTATGGAATATATTTGAGACAATGTTCACGCCCCCTTTTAGCTCCGTCCTCTTCAGTATATAACCAGGTAAAGTCTGTTCGTAGATATAAGAAAGTGACTACCTCATGCGAATTAAGGAAAGACCCGGGCAAGCTGTAAGAATGAAATATTGCCGAACAGGTCCGTACTTTGCTTAGAATTTAATTATTTGGGGTTTTGTTAGGAAAAATACAAAACAATATTTATTTATTTATGTATGTATTTATGTTTAAATCTAAAATAAAATTACAATTTATTTTATTACCTACTTAAATTACTTAAAATTATTCACATAATATATCATCGCTTTTTCTATAGGTTCAACAGAATTTGCCCAACTTTGTGGAGTAATGTTAAAAACTTCGGTTTCTATAAGTTTGAGAACATTGGAGTTAACACGGGGAAAAACATTGTTACTACGAATGGCAGATTTCAGTTGGTGCCAAACATGTTCAATGGGATTAAATATACAGTGGTAAGGTGGAAGCCTTAAAACTGTATGCCCTAGATTTTTTGCATAATTATCACAGACTTATTCCTTTTGTAGGTCCAAGCTTTGTAGAACCTCAATTAATTGCTTTTTGGTATAATTTCCGTGAAAATAAATGTCGTTATTATACATCTAGTTTTGGATTGTTGCTTTGGTGTCACATGAGGAAGGGGTTTTAGTCAACTGTCTACTGTGACAACTTGCATTGTCCATTGCAATTACGCTATTAGGAGGAATGTTTGGAACTAGTTCGTTTTTAAACCAACTTTCAAATAAATCAGCATTGGTGTCTTCATGGTAATCCAAAGAAGAATCTTTAAGATTTTTCACAGACAGAGAAAGTCCATTTGGAATCCAACCATCTTTAGAGCCAGCATGCAAAATGGTTATTCTTTTACCTCTTTTTGTTGGCGCGTTTGTTTTACACTTATTAGTTGAGTCAACCCAACCTTTTTTCGGGGTATCATAAGTGTCGAACCAGGTTTCATCCAAGTAAATAATTGGCCTTTGTTGTTTTCTGTAAATCCTAATTTTTTCTAGACATTCCAGTCACCATTTCTAAAAGATTCCAATAAAACTTGCCTTTTGTCAATTTTTTTAAATCAAAAACCCATGTGTTGAATACACTTCCATAGGATAGTTCTGCCACATTTGACACCGGTTTCATCTTTTTCAAGCCTAAATTTTACGCCATATTATATATTGATCACTTTCATCTACACTCGAGAAAATGTCAGCATCGCTCCTTTTTTTCCTCGCTGAAATAGGATTATACAGTTGATGTTGGAATTTTCGTCAATGTGGCCGTTTAATCTAAAGACGCTTGCTTGCTGGCACCACGTTCAATGAGAGTCAAATAAACATTGTTTATAACTTCCTTAGTCTCAATAGAATAGTGTTTTCTACATTTGGACGGGAGCATCTCCTGAGATCACTAGACTAGCACATATTTTGCATAATAAGAACGGTTACTAATAAACTTAAACTAAGTAGTATACCGAACCAAAGAATATTAAACACAGGTAGGTATAAAATTATTTTCTATTACGGACCACATTTTTACCTGAATTTAAATTCCGAAATTGTAGGTAATAATCTTGTTGAATTGTATGATAATGACCACCCTTGAATTATCCCCATTCAAAAGCAATTGGTCACTTTCTTATATCTATGAACAGACCATACAGAGTATAATGCTGGCCAGTTTTAGATGTTCCTTAAAATACGAGAGTATTTTTCTGGGGGGGACATAATTTAAATTCATTTCTTTGTTCGTTATTATGATAATGTTTATTCAATATTGATTGAAATCTCAGTGAAATTATGTAATAAGGAAAAGGCAAATTGTTCTACAGGCCCCCTCAATTATATAACACTACTCGTAATTAAGTTTGGGGAGTAATCTAGATTGTTTCGACAGTATTTCACCAGGGAGACGAAGGGAGATCGTGGTACATAATAGTAAGAGGTTCCGTGGATGTCGTCATACATGGCAAAGGGACGGTAAATACCCTTCACGAGGGGGATGATTTTGGGAAGTTAGCGTTAATCAACGACGCTCCCAGGTAAAGTTACCATTAACATTACAGCGTTGCCAGTTATATTTTAGTATCTTTGTTATCCTTCTGATTTTAATTTGCGTAGAACGTTTGTTTTTTTTTTTAAGACATTGGATAATAAGCATATAGAAATAGTTATTAACGTAGCTACATTTGCATAGAGCAAAAAAATATTTTAATCTAACCAGAAAAGATATGGATAAACAAAATTTCAATTTATGCTAAATTGTATAATTCCGACGCAATTGCCACAACGATTTCCGTGCTATGGAAATTTTATTGCAGTTGTGGTGAATTTAATGTTTTTCCATGTCGCCGGGGGAATTGAATTAATATTGCGGTAAAACTGATAAATAATGCAAACAAATTAAAATAGGGGCGAAATATCTTTTATTAAAACGTTATAAATTCAATACTGCAGCAAATACAAGCGAAGAAAGCTTGTTTTCATTTATTTCGCGATTCGCAATTTCAAATCAGCTAATAGTTCTCAGACGAGGTCGATGTTATTCAAGCTACGGACGTCACTCTATTGACGTCGCGCTCATTTTGAGTTCACAGTGATGGTCAAACGCGAAAATTAACAAATAAAACGGCTAATGATAAATAATGGGACAGAAGACACGTTTGACTTTCTCTCAATTGCAAAAGATTTATTTCCAAGTAAAATAAATTTTATGTATTAGGAATATACACAATCCATGGCTGCCGTTGTTACTCTGGATAAATTTGGGCTTTTTAAAATATGCAATGTTGCCAGCCTCGATATTGACATCCAATTAACTGCCAAAAACAAAGCACTACTTCTTCAACGATCTCAGAAAATGTTGACAGTTCTTTGTTTTGTGACGTCATTGATTCTCATTTGAATAATTGTATTTAGATGTATTAAAGACAAAATCACTGATTTAAATTCGCCTTTAAGTACAATTAATCTGACTTTGGAAAATGTGCTGATACTCTTCTGTAGTAAAAATCCAGAGCACCGAGCTCCTTCAAAACAGATATATCCATGGCTGAGAAAGAGATTGGCAGAACGTATGAAATGCTAAAAAGGTATGCCGGGACCGTAATGTTTTAAATGAAGAAAATAACACAAACATATTAGGATTCTATGAAGTACATCCAGTTTCCTCTGTTACTAGAATATATGAAGAGAGAGGTATTTGTCGGGGATCAATCACTCAATTTTGAAAGAATATAAATATAATTTTCTTAAAACTCAAAGTTAAGTGCAGAAGAATGTCACAGGAGGATGCAGTTTTGTTTGGATTTTTTAAATAGACATAATGAGAATAACAATTTTTTGAAAAACATTTCATGGACTGATGAAAGTTCGTTCACTGCAAAAAAGGGTTGTAATAAACAAAATACGCGATATTGGTCTTTAAATAATCCTAGACAAATACGCGAAATGAAAACCCAGCAGTACCAATCAATATTGTGATGTCATAGATGGGCATATTTTGTGAGGTACCCCTAAATATATCAGCGCTGATTATATGACAGCAAGACAGTGCCTTTCGTCACAGTGTTGTGTAAGTTAAAAATTTTCTTAACATGGAATATCCCAGGGGTAGGATACGGAACCGTGGAACTATGGATTGGCCAGCCAACAGCCCCTACTTAACTTTAATGGATTTTTTCTTTTGGGGACACATAAAAAATCACGTGCACAGAACTCCTTTTAGTAATGTCGTGGAAGGATTTCACAGCCAATCAATCAGTTAAGAAACAATCCGGAAACGTTACTAAATGTGTTCAAGAAAATGGTGGTCACATACAGCAGTATTTAGAATGGTTAAAGAATTTTTCAATTTAGTGTGTTTTGTCAGATTTAGTGTTTTTGTTCTACTTTAATTTGTAAATAATTTGTTTGTTGTTTTTGTTGATTGATTTGTCAAAAACGAGTCAAAAAGTGTGTTACATCATTGTAATCGAAATAAGATATTATATTAAACACATTCATAATATATTTTGATATCCCTAAAAACAAAAAAGTTACAATCAATTAAAATGTTATCAAGATTAATTGAACGCACGGTACAGCCTTAACCGGCACACAAACGACATTTCATACACATACATTTCATTGTATTGTATTATTGTAATAATTGGTATAGTTGGGTGCCAAGTATTCCTGAATTCGTTGCCAATTTTTTTAATCCCTAATAGCACTTCGCTCTTCTCTCTCTTTTGTTAAATAGTCTCAGTTGGTCATGAAGCAATAAGCAAACAAATGTTTTAGTGCATTTTCAGAGACTTATCCAACAAAAAAAATCAAAATCGAACCATAAACAAAGATTTTGCAAGGGTGTACATTTCCTAAGTGGGACACACTGTATATACGCTCTTCATTGACTTTAATATAATATAATCTTTTCAAATATGTAGATGCAATTTCCCTATTGCAAATGAACTGAAACACGCTGTATATCACGTTTAGTCGATGTAATTTTTTCAGGCGTCATCTCAATACGCTAAACAAAAATCGCATTCGATCGAAAGTGCGTGTTGTGTTCGAAATCCCCAATTTGTTCAAAACAAATAGCCATTATTTAAGGATTTCTGTTCGATATCTTTGACAATAGGTACTCGCTTTGTTGCACTTCAACGTACGGGAAAGTCGATATTTCCGCTTGCAGCAATTTTCCGTTTCAATTGTAGAGCCGCAACGATTGTACTGAGGGAAAACAACTGTCATTTCCTCCGCGTGGACAAAGAAAATTTTAATCGCATCCTCAGGGACGTCGAAGCGAATACGGTCAGGTTAAAGGAGCACGGAAAGGACGTGTTAATCCTGGAGAAAATCACCTCGAATACGAAACAGGTGTTTTCTTCGCATTTCAAGTAAGTGCTTTATATATTACCCTATTTAGATTTAAATTAGATACTCCCAGTTTTACGATTCGTATCTAGTTTTTTTTTATATTTTATATGCTTTAGATGTGTATTTACTTTGTGTAGTTGCTGTTAGAAAATGTTTCTTTTTTTAAAAGGAAAATAATAGTTAAATTAAATTTCCCTTATTATCGAAAATTTATTAAGCCCATTTTAATTGTATGTTATGTTTTTAATTCAACAAATGCGACCGTGAAACTAAACCACTCACAGAAAAAAAATAAATAAAAGAGTTCACAATATAGAGAGAAAAAGAGAAAAAATGTCATATATATACTTTAGTTATAAAATTTTTTTCGCATAACAAATTCCTAACCTAACCTAATCAATGGAATCAGATTTTTTCGTATAACACATACATTTACACTGTAATTTTTATAAAAGATTATCGGATTACTACATTTCGTACAATTCAAACAAAATATTTACCAATTGCTGCTATTGTTGTCTCTTGTTAACTGTGTACGTCAAACAGATCTCTGTTTATTATTTGTATTATTGGATATGTCATATAAAAAACGGAACAAACACAATTTTAAAACGTTATGTTATTTGTTTAACTTTTACAATTGATCATTAAGTAGTTTATTTAAAGACGAAGACTGTAATTGAGAAGAAGAAGAAAAATCACCCAAGGATAGAGCTTTTAAGAGGATTACATTTTTAAGATTCTTTAAGCAAGAAAAAGCAGGTAATAACCTTCAATTTTGTTTTGTTTGTACTGATGAGAGAAACATGGATATTTGAAAATCGCAAAATTGGCCTTGGCAAGATGTTAATATAAAAAACTGTAAAAACCACTAAATTTCATGTGAAAGGTATGTAAAATTTCTGTGAAAAACTTAAATAATAAATGTCAATCTACTTACTGACTACTCCACTAGATTTTAATTGTAGCTTACAGCACGTAGTATTTAAATTGTCTGATATACTGCATAACATTTTCACAAATACATTCACTGACATGACCGTCAGAACTGACAAAGGTCAGAATTCAAGGCGTTGAAAATATCTACCAAAATATCCGATTGCTCTCAAAGTGGTAAAGTCCGGGAATTCTTCTAAGAGCCTCGGATCCGCGTCACATTATCACGTCAGTGATAAAGTGACGCTTCCTGCCCGCTAGAGCGGTGTGTAATTGGGCATTTTAAAGACGAGGGCAGAAAAAGTAATTAATAATTAACAATATATATCTATCACCTGTCAAGCGTTGCCTTTCTAATATCCGGACCACATGTACAGTGTGTCACTGATCTGGATACGATATTTTTACGGATTTCCTTTGATTTTTTTTTAAATGAAACACCCTATATTTATTTTAGTAATTTTATTAGACTCGTTATGTTTAATTTTAAAAAAATTTTATCACTAGATCTTGGAAAAATGTATCTGTTTTCTTAATAACTTTAGATGACAATCTAAATCGGATATAATGGGGTATATTGCTAATGCGCATTTAATATTGTACCCACACAAGTTTGTTTTAACCGGTAACAAACTTCATGTAATAAATAAATTATTTGTATCTGTAGTTTTTCATGGTCTACCCAAAAAAAAACAAAGAAATTAATGATATTCTTTCCCTATGTGTTAATTATTTTGGAAAAGCGTATAACAAGCCTAACAAAATTATTAGAAGACATACAGGGTTTTCCAGTAAAAAAACCTCAAATTTAGTTTATATAAAATTGGTAAGTTTACTATATCCTACGTAGAAAACCGTATCCAGACCTGAGATCACCTTTTCGAGAAGTTTACGCAGAAAGAGTGTTCCAAAAATGCCGGATTTTCAAGATCATCCTATTTCTAAAAATTCAAGAATATGACATTTCCGTTTGTGCCACCTTTTATTTTATAAAAGCCGCAGTCCATCCGAAGTAACTCATTTAATATTATACAAGGACCAATAAATTTTGTTTTGAATGGTTTGAGTTAATTTAAGCGAAACATTCGTTACCGACAAATAGGAAGTTTTCATTACTTAGAATTTCAAGTCATCCTCCAAATAACACGCGTAGCGATCGTAACGAGCCGGGGTTGTTACCCGAAAACCTCCCTTCCTTTAGCGAAACACTTTGCCAATAGGCAACGGTTAAACACATAAACGTATTCCTTTCCTAGCTCCGTCTTCTCAATTACCCGTCGCACTTTATAAGTTCCTAATAAGCTCATTTGTATTCAATCGGGGTTTCCGCTGTGCGGTCCGTGGAAATATTATACACCCACTACGCACCAAACATAAAAAGGACAAAGCTGACGAACACCGGGCGAATACAACTTTAATGGCGTTCTTTCCCTCCGGTTTTCAATTTCAACTGAATTCGTGTCTCTGCATGTTAAGGTTCAATTTGTGGTTTTCGCTCACTTACTCACTCGAACTTATTAATTTATGTTGATAGGGAGTTTTGATTAGTTTTTAAAAATCCATTAGGGTACATTATCAACCGGTGTATACATGCGTTCGCTATTGTATGAAATTTTTCAAAAATTCTTATGTAAGCCCACGTACGTTGCTTTAAAACAATAATTTGTTATTATTATAGTTTCTGCTTTAAAAAACGATCAACACAAAGTTTATTTTAAATCACTGGGAGTATAGACATGAAAATTTAAATAACAATTCGAAAAACATCTTGACATGATGGTAAGGCATGGTCGCCGAAGTCAAATTCTGTGCCTACTTTCTTTAATTAAATGTACGCGGCAGATCGAAAATGGTGAATTAATTACTTTTATTCGTTGAATTTTGCTATTAGTAAGGAATAACATTCAGAAATTATTCAAATCATTTTTGAATAATCGGTACAATATCAAGTATCATCATCAATCAAATTATGAAGCTGTAGCGTTGCATTTACTGAAATATGGACGACCAAATATTTTTTTTAAATACTTTTCTTTCTTATTAAGATTTTAAGATTTTTTAAGATGTTTTCCACAACTAGAGATTTTTGCTACACTAATTTACTCCCTTGAGGAGCCTACTTAGTAAAAAACGGTAATCATCTCTTGAATCAACTTCCCTAGAATAATGTCTATATATTTGTTGGTTTATTTTAAAATATAAGGTACTTTTTCAACATTTCAAAATTCTTACTTACATTTAATTACAATACGCCCCCAATGTAAGCAAAATGTTGAGCAAAAGTCACGTATCATTTTTTAAAATTGTTGACTGAATTTCGCTTATTTCATCTCTACAAAAAGTCGCTTCGTAGGAATATCCTTGCCTTTAAATTTTTATACTATTTTTGACTTTACCTTCACCTCCTTAGTCTACGTAGACTACCTACACCATATAAGTTGAGGGGTCAGGGCACTTTTTTATTTATAGAAAAGCTTTTAACCTTTTGAATTTCATCCGTTAACGTTTTAACCCTATCGAATATTCCTAACTAACTAATTTTAATTTTCAATGACCCTGCAGTTTTCTTTAGATGATCAAGTTCTAGCAAAACGGACGAATGTGGAAAAAATGAGTCTTACAGTTTGCAGAAACCAACTAACTCAGACACCTATAGACTCTATTGCTAAGTTTGGGGTAGTTGGTTCTTGGAGGCTTGTATGAATATACCCAGCATATCTCACATGTTATAGTGTCCTGTAGGTGCAGAATTAAAGCTGCTACAATGCATTGATAACTGCTTGTATCATTTTTCATCAAATTGCTTTGATGGAACCTTTTGTATCGTGATAAAAATCCTTGGCTCACCGGATTACTTTACTTTACTCATTTGCGCAAAATATTTAAACCCAAAATCCTTCATTATACTATTCTAACAATTCTCCCTCGACAACAGCGTGCTGACACGGTAACTAATGGAGGCAAACTGGGGCCCAATATTATGTTTCCATTCCTCTGGTGGGGCGAAACTTTTTCGAAAACATCAAAATTTACGGCGCAATCGTCCCCCCCCCTCCATATTTCCGTGCGTGTGTTGATTTTTTGCACGGAAGCTTTCCCCAACCCCAACCTAATAACGATTCAATGTTTTATTCGCGATGCAATCTGCGTTGAATTGGCCGATTCCCGTGGAAGTTTCGCTTTCCATTCCATTTGAAATACATCTACGCTTCGATCCGAAGAATTATTTTGCGCCATGCTATTGTTTCACGTGATAACTTTTTCCCGGAAATTTCAATAAAAGATTTGACCGTTTGGGAAAACGACATTTTTATTATGTATGTAATCTGATTTACGTTGCTCCAAGTTAGAATTTAGTTTTTTGTTCTTTAAATGCGCCTTTGAAATCTACGAATTGCGATGTTAAACAGCAGACAAATCGCAATGTTTTCCTAATTCAAGTTTTTAAAATAACCACGACAAGGACGACGCAAACTTAAATTTAAAACGACTAAGTTTTCTTATGAGCATAGAAATCCAAATACTTTTTGAAAATATTAAATTGAATTATTTAAACTAAATGTTTTTCAAAAATAATGAGCTAATTGCACTAAATATATTTACGGGTTAAACACAACACCAAATAGCGCTCACTATCAAAGCAAGTACAGACATTGTGATATAGAACCTTATCGATATATCTTTTTAGCTATGGATCACTATTAAGTACTATTGATACTGTCACCTAAATACAATATAAACTCAAATCTTCTTATTAAAGGTGGTCCCTAAGCAAATTAACAGCGAAAACATTTGCCAATTGCGTTTGAAGTTTGGGTTTTTATGTTTGTGCATTGGTTTATTACAAATATATCTAATTAACCAATCAATTAAAAGTATTTGAAGCGATTTACGGTAGGCAAATAAACGTAGTAGTGAATTTATTAATAGTTTAATGATTTTATCATCTTGGAATTTTTGATTTTGAAGCAAACTAATTAATAATTAAAAAAACCCTTGTTATGCGGAATTTAAATCGGAATGCGGAATGCGGTAAAATAAATATCAACGACGATTTTAGTTATATTAAATTGTATTTTCTAAGCTGAATAGAAATTTCTGCCTGATAAGATTCAGAATTCAATCCGCATGTAGGGAGTGATTGTCACGTTTACACATACAACATTGTAGCAGAATAAATTGAACGATTTTTGCACACCCTTACCACACTTCGTTCAATTCAACAAGTGGGTCCTAAAGTTGTATTCCTGACCGGTCAGTCTAGTTTTAAACTATTGTTATTACTTATTGAATTTCAGTCAGTTCAGTCTTATTCAATTTGCTTAATCAACATGTTCTTTTATCATTGTTTTTAGAAAGTTCTGTCCTTGGTACATGTGGATTAATTCTCAAGTAAATAATGGTACAACTTAAAAAAATGGACTATTATTATAAAACAAATGTTGCAGGTAATATTGCCAACCGAATAAACGCATGATCAAAATGATTAGGTCGACAATATAAAGTATATACAACAAAAAATTGGGATATAGGCTTTAATAATTATTATGCTAAGGGAGTTATTTTTATCTTTTCAGATATACTGTGATGGCGGGAACCCCGCAAAAAATGTTGGAGCATTTATTAGAAACTAGGTTAGACGGCAGGGGAACCATGGGCGGAGGCGATAGTTTTATAATAGCCACCGCGCAGGATCCCTTTCTCGACGATTTTCTTTTGACGCATATCGTTTTCTTCCCTGCGCACCAATTAATTGAAGAACTGGACAGATAATATCCTTTTACTCTACACTGTACATATAAATTTATATTAAGGCAAGAGATATCCAAAATGGAGCGAATACAATGTTAATTTCTTAAAAACAATTAATAGATGAAAGCAGTTTTAAAACACGTAACCTCAATTTTGTTTTAGTTGGTTGGAGTAGAAAATTGTATGGGCAATATTCTGCGATCTTCTTTGATAGATCGTTGTGTTTCGGTAAGCTTCTCTAAAATTCCAAACGCTCCGCTTTGGAAGGTCCGCTCAGATTGGATAAAAATTTAACTAATATTGGAATTTTGCCTTAATAAAGCGTACTTATAATATAGACTACTCGAATCAAGACAAGGAGTTTGTGTTGGCCTGTAAAAGAAGAGTTATCCAATTTGTATATAGGTAAGTTTTACTAATAAGGTAAATTAAATATTATGAAACTTCAAATTGCCAATGTCGCTTAGCCTAAAATTATTTTGGTTTTTGTTATAAGAATAGCTTTTATCGGTTCAAAATGGGATTCTGATTTCGATTACGATCAACAGAAGTCTGTTGCGATTGTACAACATTCTTTGAGCGATGTAAAGCTAAAAATTATGTAGAGAAGCAGACAGGAAAAAATCTTTACACTTTAATAATTTTGTGAAGTTAAACTGAGGTGGCTTTTACTTGATAATTTAATATATATATATATATATATATATATATATATATATATATATATATATATATATATATATATATATATATATATATATATATATATATATATATATATATATATATATATATATATATATATATATATATATATATATATATATATATATATATATATATATATATATATATATAAATACAGACAACAGTAAACTCTATTTATCCGAAACCAAATACAGAACACGAACAATTTAAAACAATTACATGCATAAAAAATAGCTTTCAGAACTAACAACACAATAGGAAAATATTTAAAAAACAATAAATCGAAATGTCCAAAATCCCAAAAATCAGGTGTCTACAGGTTGAAATGTGGATCTTGTCCTAAAATTTGTATTGGACAAACAGGTAGATCCTTCAAGAAACGCATTAACGAACATATAGGAACGTTTAAAAACAATAGTTTAGATTCTAATTATGCTACACACTTAAACACAGAAAAACACATTTTTGACGACAATTTTGATATATTACACACAGCCACAAAAAGTAGAAAATTAAATTTATTGGAAGCCATGGAGATTAACAAAATGAGACATTCAAATGTATTGCTTAACGAGCAATTAGATTTAAAAACCTCTTCTTTATTGAACTTAAATTCTCGCCACAACTTTAATTAAGGTTTTATGGTCATTTTTCGGTATATATAATAGCAGGTAGTCTGTGAATATTACATTTGAAAAAGACACGGTGTTGTCGAAACAATTGTCATGTCATAATATATAATTTCGTGAAAATCTGAACTTTTAGTTCTTATTTATTTTCAATTTTGTGAAGCTATGAAATTTGCGAAATTTGCCCGCCAGCCCTGCAGAGAGTAATATTGATTTAGAATGAGACGTTTACTAATTTAAGGGAAATTCGGGGTTAAATTTAAATTCCTTTTCGAAAGCTCTTAAGACCGAATTTTTATTTGCGGCTGTTAAAACTGAGTACACGTCGGAATCGATAGCTCATTTTATAAATTCAGTTGCGTTTCTCAGTCCTGGCCCTAATAAATTTGGTACGAGTTGACCTGGAAATTGAAATATCGACTTTTGGAAGACATTCGAAAAGAACATTGTTTTAAATTCGTTATTTCTATTTGACATAGTGTATTAATATTACAAATTCAAAATTCTATTGCCTGGTTCCAGGTACTGAACCGGAGCTTTGCTTGTTATTCTATTCTACCATTACGCAAATGTTTTGCTTAGTTTTGACGCAGACTGCGCCAAAAATTAACTTATTGGCTAAGGACTATTCGCTGGAGACCCAGCGAATATATATTACAATGACAGATTGTTTTTTTGCGAAACATTTATTGTACGAATATTATAGCAAGCTATTAGATAATACAGTAGTTCTACTTGACTTAAACATTTTTTTTATTTCCTTAATACATTTGTTTATGTATAGAAATATAACATACCAAATATCAAAACTCAAAATCGAATATTTAAGTTGCAATAAATAATTCAATTTGTGACACCCGGCTATTCCTTTTAAACAATACTAAACGTGCGGCAATGATCGTGACGTCATACCGCTGCCGAGACTTATATTATTTATGTTTATTTATGGCTCGTGTAAAGTGAATTTCTATTTAATCTACGGCAGTTTGTATTTGTGCTTAGTGTGCTTTACATGATAATAATGCAGTCATGTATGAGTACAACCCGGAAACCGCCAGATAAACTTTATATTTGCCTACCAGAAAATAAAGGCCTTCGTTTTTTTTGTTAATATTATGTTTAGGCGCCACTTTAGCTTTAGCCGTGCAAAGATTTTTAACTGTTCGAACTTCCACCCATCCTATTGCAGTCTCCATAGAAATGGCTTCCTGCCTGACTTATATAAAATAAAGAACAGTTTAAGTTACCAATGCCAATATAATTTAAAATTAGTATTTAGGTTTCCACTAGTTTACTTTTTTTTTATTTTAGGAACTAGAAAACTTTAAAGTGATTACAATATTATATTGGTTTAAAACTAGCGGCTAAATTTTGTAGCTATAACACCGCAAAAGAAAAACTTTCGGCGTTTTGTTTGTCAGATGTCACCATAAATATTGACCTTACAAAAATCTTACAAAAATTAGACTTCGGGTATTTTCAAAACTTTCTTTTTGATACTAAACACAAGATAACAAAATCAAGCGACAGGACCAAGAATAAAATTACAATTAAAACCACGAAGACGAATGCGTTCATTCTTTAATGACTTCTCTACGCTATCGTCCGGCTGGCGCGTAGTCTAAAGGGCGAATTGACGTCACAACCGGTCACAGCCCATGACAGCGCGTAAAAACAGTGTAAAGTTACGTTTATAATCAATGTTTTTCAAATTAAAATTTTGTTCAAGTTCCCTATTGGTAACGATCTTCTGCGCATCCCTCTACATTTATTAAAATTGTGATGACGAAACCTTAACTTGTAAGTGTTTCCGGTAAATAAAGTTCTATTCTATTCTATTCACCAACTAACCTGCACTTGGCGCCATTTTTTTTCGAATCAGCAATATCCAACCAGTTAACTCCTTTTAGATCTGGACATATTTCTGAGAAAAAAGTGCCGTTGAAATGCCACATCCCCACTTATTGACGATCTGTTAGAAGCCACGTAGGTTGTTGTTGTTTCATCGGTTGAAAACAAGATTTTAAATCTCGTGCATGCGAATGAACCTTTTTTTTTCACAGCTGTTTCATAAGTTCCTGTATTATCGGCATTAAACAGGGCCTCTATGCATTTATATGTTATAAGGCTATACCTTATTTATACAACGTGGTGATTGAAAATGTTTTTTTTTCGAAATCATGAACGTTCTGTATAAAATTTTATAACAAACTTATACTGTCAATTACCTAAGTCTAGCACCTAACTATATTGAATCGTAGAAACAAACTTCTCATATTTTTGCTCAAATAACTTCCATTGATAGCCAAAATTTTATCTGAGAGGAAAAACTTGTTAAGCAACAAAAGTGCGACCCTCTGGAAATCAGCCCCACGTCTTCCCACGGATTTTTTAATATTATATAAATAGAATATACTTTCCAAAGGTGGGTGACAACGATACGACAACCCGTGTTCGAGGACGATATCGCAGTGGAGTTTCTGGAAGACCTCGCCGAGGCACTTGAAAATGACATTATGCACTTCGACGCCCTGCAGGAGGAGGCCAGCCTCATGCACCACGTCATGTCTCAATTGAGAAGGTAAAGGCAATTATAAACTCTTTAACATTATTTACAAATCTAATAAAAAATACTTTCGAAGTCGGGTTGACTAATGGTTCATTATTTATGAGGTTGGCCGTATAATGATGTTGCTATATCCGGTCCAGATGTAGTTGTTCAACTCGATACAATTACATTGGGGAAATATGTGACATATATAGTGCTGATATTTCAACCAAAGCCGGAGTGGGAATAAAACTTCCGTTCGCAAAATCAATAAGTTCATTAAAACATTTTTTCTTTTTCAAGCTGAACGGGGCACTAAATAAAACCCGTCGGTTATTTCCATCTGGTTTTGGAATTGGAAATATAAATAGTATATTATGCCACAGGTTTGATAAACGTCATTTTAGTAACAAATTTGATTTGACACGAATGGAACGAGTGCTTAACAAATTAGTGACTGAGGTTTATCAACGTGATGCACACCAAACGTTCTGCACGATCATTAGTTTTGCGCTATCGCTCATCCAAAAAAAGAGCTTTTATAAACATATTCCCGGAAATGCTTAGTTTCTGAGATATGGGGCATGGGAAGTGTTCAATATTATCTAAAAAACGGTGATTGTTCAAAGAAACTGCTACTGTAATACTTTTTATAAAACTTCTGGATTCCTCCTGCGTCGGTTTTTGTTGACTCGAAGTAGCTAACGCTTCGCCAATCATCCTGTCGGCTTCTTCAGAGCTTGACTGAAACTGGCTCGCCTTTTACTCTGTACCTGCTTTTATATTGTTTCACTCAAGCTCTGAAGAAGCCAACAGGATGATTGGCGAAACATTAGCTAATTTGAGTCAACTAAAACCGACGCAGGAGAAATCTAGAAGTTTTATAAAAAGTAAAAAACGGTGAGTGATCAAAGTTCAATAAAAATCGTGAAACATTAATTTGTCTCACGTTGTAGGTAAAATACTAGATAAAGAGAAACGTCAATAAATCAACAAGTTACACAAATTATTTACTTTATGGAAAAGCCATAGGATCAAAGAATAAACTAGGTATCAAAAATATATATCTATATGTATCTAACTAAATATGTACATGTATATATGTATAGGATACATGCTTGCAGTGAAGTTGATGGCGGGCATCTTTATCATTTTGTTTGGTATTAATTTTTGATAACTAAATTTATTGTGATCAAAGAGTTCAAAAAAATTTCATAAAAAAACGTTTTGTCAATTTACGTGATTTGCAAGTTGCGAAAACAACCCAAAAGCCTTTAGTGACTATATTCTTCTTTAAAATTCTTCCCGAGACGGCTTTGAACTGCCCAATTTTATTCTAGCGCTTTATAACTATAAATGGCGTTGCCAAAACCGGGAAAAATATTTAATACATTGTGAAAAACCGTCTTTTTGAATATTTAACTTCTGGTATCTCGAAAAGTGACCATTTCCTAATCTACCTACGTTGATATGATATTGTGAGCGTAAATACTTTGAATTTTAAATCTGAATTTTTTTTGTGTTTTAGAATATACGACAAGAAAGGCCTATCATTTTATTTAAACTGAATAATAACCAAACATCATCATTGCATAGAGCAGGAAAGGTGACAATACAAAATAATGCATATAACAGCGATGACGCTACAATTTAGGATACCATGTATATTTTATTTAAACATTTATTGTTATATATTTTCGATTCAAATTATTATATTATATGTATCCGTTTAAGATATCAAGAAGACCGCAAAGCCCACGAGGGCCAAAAATGGAAGCTGCCGCCTCTAGGACAGCCGATAAGCCTTTTTAGCGCCGGCGACGACACGAACAGGACAATAATAATGCCTCAGGATGACAGTAAGTGGTTGTTTTCTCTTTTTAGGGTGCATTTGAGGCTTTGCAACCTCGTATCAAAACTCGCCTACTGGTAAACCCCACACCCAACACCAACTATCGTCACGACTTGGTTTGAAATCACGAAAAACTAGTTTTGACGAAAAATCAATAGGATGATCCATAAGGTTTTTCATTATTCGTGTTATAATTATTTTTTTGACCAATTGACCTTTTATTTTTGTGATATGAGAAAATGTATTACTTTGTAAGGAACTCGTTCTTTTGTCAGACCCTTTGTATGCTGCAATCAAGAGATGCAACTTTCTGATCTAATGCCAAAAAAAAGTTTTTTTATTGACTTAGTAAACACAAAAAGTATTTAACCCAAGCTAAATCAGTAATCAGTACTCCATAAATATGCGCACTTCTAGTCAACGTTTTAAATTTTTATTTCTTTTCTATTTACAAATGATTTTTTTTAATAAATTTTAATCGTCAGATGTCTAAAAAAGTAGTATATTTTTGGCAAGCAAGATTTTTACAGTATTTATCGAAGTTAGTTATATCTGCAAAAGTCTAAAAAGAACGATCGAAGGAGGAAATTTGACCAAACGTCAATATATTTTAATATAATTAGTAACAGAGGGTGTAAACCCGATAACCATTTTTTGTTAATAATTGCCCATCAGTGAAAATTGGTGCCTGTTCGACAACTAATTTAGAATGGTTCTAAGACAAGATACACAGGGTTGGTAGTATACACACAAAAATACCGCAAGATCCCATAGGAAACGTTTATTAGAATTAAAATATATATACGGATATCATCCGTTCGCTTGTATTCGTGTGTTTTGCGAAAATGTACCCAAAAACTAACGGTCGTAGAAAAAGTGTAGTATGCAACACGTTCTGTAAACTTTTTAAGTCACTCGTTTATTAAACACTCGCTTCGCTGCGCTCCTCGTGTCAAATAAACTCGTGAGTCAAATGCCGTTTATCACACTTGTTGCATAATATACTATTAATCACTCATTTATTACGCACTCGCTACGCTTGTGTCAATTAAACTCGCCACTCAAATGCCGTTTACTGGCATAATATGTTATTATTAGTTTTAAATACCAAGTAGTTTTTTTTTTGTGTTGTAAAATTTCCGTAAGTCAAACGTGAAAGAAAACTACTCGACACGCGATCAAAATCCGCAGCAAATTATCCTATTATGTGCTTTCCGAATCATGGAAATTCGGAAAATATCGGCACGAACAAAGTGCCATTTACCGGAAATTAAATTTCGGAAAAAGAATTGGTCGTAAATTGAATATACGTACGTGTAATAACATTAAATTAAACGACACCCTGTTAAAAAAAAAACTGTTTTTAGAAAGAGATCGAAGCGATACTGAATATTCAGTGCGGGCGAAAAAATAAGAACGAAAAGTGTGGGTAATATCCACCTTTCTTTATCGCATTTCAAAACTTTGTATTTAATGAAAATTCAGTGACTCTTCGCGACCTTTTTTTAATTAGCTTCGTCGTAGAGGTGTTAAAAAGTTTCGACGAAGCGAGCGTGAAGAAGAATTGAATTGCAACAAACTTTTAGTGAAATTTCTTGTAAATACCTGTCGGCTTTAAACTCGACTTGAAAACTATTCGATCGTGAGGCGTTAAGTTGCAGACGGGGTTCAAGAAAAGACGTAAATGCCTATAAGGGCCATCTTAAAGTAGGAGAGGGGTTTTTTTCATTCTCTGCAAAATGAACATTTTGAAGCTAATCCCCAAATAACTTTTTTCGTTAAAATTTGCATTTGTATTCTGACGCAATTATTCCCAATTTCATTTTTATCTTCGAGGCGTTCCATTTTTCTTTTTTCTTGTCAAAAAAAAGCTTGCAGTTCATTTATATTATCTCCTGATCGTGCCAAATTGAACGCTGTTGCGTAGTTGTGGATGTCAACTCAGTTTTATAGTGATATTCCGTTTTTCCAATGTAATTTTTAAATTTCAACAACCGTTATTAACAGAAACATATAAAAATATTCATTTAAAACAAAATTTTTACATTTAATTTTAGGATTAATTAATACTTTTAATGATAAATGACTCAAAAAAAAAGACCAACCTGTTAACGGCAGATTCTTTGTGCGAAAAAATTGGGACTTTCATTATGCCATTTTTCATATTCGCGTCCGGTTTTTAAAATACAGAGCGTGAAACTTTATTTAGAAAATAACATTTGTAGATATTGTACAATAAGTAATAGATGAAAAGTAAAAAAATATACCATTAGTAAATAACATATTGCTTTATTTTAATTGGCAATAAAATTGTCTAACCTAACAGGACAATTACATATACCAAGCTTTAGCAAAATATGTGAAACACTGTGAGATTTGTTATTATTATTTATCTGTATATTAGAAACTGGGTGCGATAATAGAAAAAATTACAAAATGAAAGTCATAATATTTTCCCACAAAGAATTGGCCAATCATTTTGATTTACCTTGTAGAACAGCAAAGTTAATAAAAAATAATAATGACAGATAATAGAATAAAAATGTTCCGATTTTTGGGTGAGTTGTATACGTGAAGTATTTATCTTCTTTTATTCTAAAGTAATTTTTTTTCAACTCTTTATTTGGAAAACGATTTCAACAAAATTTAATATGCTAAAAAATTGGGACTTTCGTTATGCCATTTTTCATATTCGCGTCCTGTTTCTAAAATACAGAACGTAAAACTTTATTTAGAAAATAACATTTGTAGATACTGTACAATAAGTATTTTAGAAACTGGGTGCGATAATAGAAAAAATTACAAAATGAAAGTCACAATATTTTCCCACAAAGAATTGGCCAATCATTTTGACTCACCTTGTAGAACAGCAAAGTTAATAAAAAACAATAATAACAGCTAATAGATTAAAATGTTCCGACTTTGGTGTGAGTTATATACGTGAAGTATTTATTTTCTTTTATTTCTAAAGTTTTTTTTTTCAACTCCTTATTTGGAAAACGATTTCAACTAAATTACGCTTAAAATACAATCTCAGAATTCAATATTTCTAAATATTATTGAGTTTATCAGTTTAATGGTTACGGCCGATTTGTGCCATTTTTCACAAGAAAATAGCACACCGAATACGAACTCCTCATATTCCCATCTTTAAAAATAAGCGAAAACAGTATAGTTTTTGTTTCAATTTAATTTATTTTGCGCTCATTTAAAGTGCGATTTTTCAAATGTTCTCCTTCGATTCTGTTCTGGTAGATATTTCGTTAATTTAATACGTATTTTCGAAGTACCATTACGTTTTTTTTTCTCAGGAAGCCAACATTTGTTAGGAAGTATTTTAGTAAAATAAATGAAGTTATTCAAGAAGTTGTGCAAGTGTTTTTTTTTAATTTGTTCCCTTTCCACTTTTAAAAGAGATTTAAATTTTCCAAAATAAATGCTATAATAACTTTGTTATTAGTAAATATTTTTTTGAGGTGTACTTATATATACCAATTTATTGGTGTAGTCAATTTCGTATGAAAAACTCCATCGATTCGAAACCCACGAAAGCGTTTTTTTCTGTTTTTTTTACTTCTGATTAAATAATTTTTACCATATTGATTTCCACCGCCCTTAGAACTACAAAAAGTAGTATAAATAATTATTTTTTTCCAGTCATTTTTCGTGTGTACTGCGCCGATCACACATATTGTACGTTACGATTGCCAGTGGACACGCCCGCCGAAACCATCAAAGTCGTAGCCGCTGATAAATTGAAAATGAGGGAGGATGAACTTCTCTTGGTAGAAGTAAAGTCTAACGGGGAGCGAGTGGTTTTTAAAGACAACGACATTAGCATACCGACCGCCCTGTCCATTAACGGAAGGATATTCGTTTCTCCCAAGGATCATTTAGATGCGTTGGTAAGTTCTTTGAAATTCTTAAAGATTGAGTGAACATCCTAAAATAATATTTGTATTTATTTATTTTTAATCAACGTGCTCCTATTTTGCATTTCCATTGCTTTTTCTACAAGATTTTAAAGATTTTGGTTAGTTCAATCAAAATTTGCTAAATTGCGAGCCATTTTCAAACGCATTTTTAATTTAATTAATCTAATTAATCAGCTATAAATTCGCAATGATGGATAACTCACGCAAGTACATAGATGATATTTAATTTATTTACAATATTACATTGTACAAGGTGGGCCAGATTGGACGCCTATAAACTTCCCTTCCTAAGGCGGTATAATAGTTATCAAGGGGAAATTCGATTTTTTATATGGGAGCACTGTATATTTTTATTTTAAAATGACCTTTCCACAAATATAAAACCCTATCACTCTGTAACTGTAACAAATAATCTACGTTTTATGTTTTTTATCAATATGAGTTTTTGGGTTTATTTTAAAGAAAAAAATTAAAGGTAGGTATCTTATAGATCTCACAGCACCTAACTTGTTAAGGTCTTAACCAACAAACTTTCAAATATAATATTCTTTATATTATTTAATTTTTGGATTTCTGAGACTTTTTCATCGTAAGTTATTCTATAATTAATTTGAAAATTTTGAAAGATGTAAAATTTCGAATAATTCGTAATGTAATTGTGTTGTCGTTATAGTTGTAAACTCAGTAATCTATTTGAACAACAGGTTGCAATTTTGGAAACCATCCTATATTTATTGTGTGTTGTTTTGAAAAGAAATCTCAAAAACCTTGGTTTTTCGAATTTAAAAGCAAAATTTCTAACGACTATTAGAGTAATAGGGGAAGGTGGGGTAAGGCAGTTCACTTACCCTTTTTATAATTTTTTGTGGCTTTTAACTATCAAGTCGATTTATTTTTGACCAACTTTAACTAAATTTACCCAAATTTTGACGAAGCTTCTGGCCGTCGTGGCTCGCTCTCCGCAATTTATAATAATATATAAATTTTTATAATTATTATAATTATTTATTAAATAGTATTTAATAAAAAAAAACGTTACTGATTAGTAGCTACTTTTCTATCGATTAAAAAATTGGTTATTGCTATTTATAAGATTTTCAAAAGCTCTCCATAATTTTATCCAAAAAATAATAAAATAAAATCGGTTATAATAACATGAAATAGCTTTTTAGATTTTTTAAGCGGTCCATTTTACCCCTGGTATTACGCAAAGGGCTAAAAATGTACAAATAACAAGAAGAAAAAGCGAAAAAAAAATTGTTTAATTTTTGAGGGGGGTCGCCTTGCCCCACCCTCCCCTATTCCGTTTAGCTGATAAACATAATATCGAAAAGGCTTTCCGCCAGTGGTTCTGCACTCTTAACCGAACCTTTTCTCAATTTATTCATCTTAATGATCAGACTGTAGCTGCATTTATGTTGATCGCGTCGATTTCCCTAAAAATTTTCCATTTTTAAGCGCCCGCCGTTCGCCAAATAAGGCCCCGCAGCCTTTTATCTCGACGTCGCGTTTCGGCCGTTATAAGCGAATTGCGCTTATTTAGAATTCCTTATAGTTACGTTGCATCCGCAGAATGCGATATTAGTCTCTCATGGCAATTGTGCCGGGCGCGAGATTTACTTTTCCCCCGCTTTATCAGAGGAAAATGGAATTTATTATCGTTCGCCAACAGTAAAACAGACCCGCCGACTCCCTACGGGACCGTATATATTTGCAGGTGATTTAAGAAGATTTACTGGTACCCTGTGAATTTTTGTTGCCGTCTACGATGTGTTTGTAGCGAGTGTATCGTGGTTCTTGTCTCTTTTTCTAATGGCTGTCTCACCATACCACGTCTGAATTTCCCCTCCTGTCTCTTTAAATGAAATCATGGAGTTTCAAAAACTGAAGCGGCATAATATCGCCCGTTACAACCAATATAGAGGGATAACTCTTTAAAATTAGTGTTTACTATTTATTGTGTTTGACCGGCCTTCCGCTGCGACATCATCTATTGTGGTACGCTCCCAAGTACTCAGTGCCCCATCAGTCTGAAGTCTGAGGGTTTCTTCCAAGCACGACCGCTATTCGTCATCAAACTGTATTTGAAGCTGCAGTGTTTGGGGTACATCCCCAACAGAATTTACAGATTTAATACCTCCATTGCTAATAGGGATGAAGTCTCCGTTCGTTTCCTTGGCACAAAGTCGCTTTTTTCGTTACCTGTCAGCCCACTATGGGCCAACTCCTTATGCCTCTTAAAAAAGCTGTGTTCGTACATGAACTTCCCCGTGGATGCTTGAATTTTACTTCTTATTTAATCTTAATGCATCTGTGAATTTTGTGTACTAAGTTTTATTTATTTTGTGAAAAAAGCTCTAGAATCTTGGTTGCAATTTCATCACAGTTATTACTTGCTAGCCCGTGTATTAATTTTACTTTAAAGTGATCAAGGAACTCACCTCCAAGAACACTTTGTAATTCTCTTGATCACACCGATATTAACTTTAATATTAAAACTGCCTATTTAATCCACAAAAGTAAACAACACTTTATGATCCCATTACCACCAAATCTTCGTAGTAGTCATATTGACCCGCAGCTGAGGAATGTTGAGGAACCAAAATGCTTCAAAAAAAAAAAAAGAAAAAGTATGTTTTATTCTGTAAACAAGTACTTCGAATGGTCTATATATTATGTATCTATCTACAAAATTGTTTTTTTTTATTTCATTGTGCTATATATTCCTATTGGTTCATTAACATTTCTATTCCTTTGTTTTTTTAATTTGTTGTATTTTATTTGTGACGGCCTAACCTATACGTATATGGGCAATTTTTCGTTTTTTATGTAAGTTCTGTCAATAACAAATATTTTGTCTTGTCTAATTTTTTCTCCGACAATAAATACATCAGAGAAAAATAAAAGAATTAAAACATGAAATTAAAATACAAACATTACGTATATAGGAGCATTATAGTTAAAAAATGGCTTAAAGAAAACTCCAGAATTGATTCAGTCCATTTTTTATTTCAAATAGAATCAGGAAAATTATATATGTATATAATTTTTTCAAAGTTCAATTTTATTCCATTGCTTTTTAGACATGTTTAAGTGAACAGGAGGAAGCCACACAGGGAATCGAAGGTGACATCGAAATGTTTGGTACCAAAGAACTTGCCTATTACATGACATTGTTCGATTGGGATTTATTTTGGTAAGTTTCTCAGACAGATAAATAAATGTCATTATTTAAACGACTAGATTTTATTTAGTTAGTATTATGCTGAAATATGTTACCGGTCTTAGCACTCGAAATATTCTGAAAAGTCGCAACGAAGCACAATGGAGATTTATTAGAATCATTAATCACTTTTTATAAATCCTACTGTTGCGATAAATAAATCCGAAAACAAAAAGGTTACACTTGTCTAAATTTCGGACGACAAATATAACGGAGACATCAAACGATAAATCTGAGGATTAAAGCAAATTTAACAAACGGGCTGGAAAAATTCGACGTCGCGCTTAAATTGAAAACATTTTTACGGTTCAAATTTTTGTCGATTAACGACTTTAGCCGAAAGTTAATGAATTTGAAATGGAATATTTAAATCGCCGAAACGGCTCTTAAAAGGCAACTCGTACAAATTTTATCGATAAGTTTTAAATACGAAATCGCTTGTCAGATTTTCAAATACCTTTCAATTCCGCCAAGTCTAAGAAAAAATATTTCGTTTCAATTATCCGCCAAACTGCCAGTATCAAAAAATCAGTAACAGCTTCTTACAATTCTCGATACGGAATGATAATATTAATTTTGAAATATTTTGGTAAAGCCTATTTATTTAATTTTCTGGCGAGATTGTTCAGAATAAGCAAAAAACAAAATCGACGACGTACAGTTTGACCTATGTCTTAATACTTTTCAATACAGCGGGCAACACTGCAAAACTGGAAGTAATTTAAATCGATTTATTTCCTCGATTAATCTCCACCGTATAGAGCTACGGTATTCGTAATTTTGTTAACCTACACACATTTTGATAAACTACTGTCGACAAAAGCCAACAAAATTGACTAACTGTCAGCGGCTATGTTGCTTATTCAACGCCGCAAGGCCTCATTGGTTAAATAAGTCGCGCATGCACATACTGATTGTGGCTTCGGACTACCAAACTATTGTATTCTGTGATATTATTTGCGTAAGGGCTTGAAATGCAATTTCTCAACATAACAATTTATACTCCAGCCACGCAAAATTAGTTCGTCTAACGTTATGAATTAATAAACTCGTAAATTCAACACCCACAAAGCAATATTCATCATCGACTGCGGCGGTGTCTGTCTGACGAGAACGTTCACCCTCTGCTTCGCCCAAATCTCAATGGCAGTAAAATATTGGCGTATTATTCAGATTATGGGACCGCGAATGGAATAAAAACTGTTTTTTATTTAAGGTGCGTCCATGAATACGAGCTGCTTTACCATACATTCGGGAGGCACCATTTTGGTCAAATAACGGCGAACCTGGATGTGTTCCTGAGACGCTTCAATGAGATCCAATTTTGGGTTGTCACCGAAATTTGCATGATTGGCAGTTTAAGCAAACGAGTCGCCGTGCTTAGGAAGTTTATAAAACTGGCCGCATAGTAAGTAAGATTTCTCGGTTATGACGTCGACGGTGCACCACTTTGCATCGTAATAGCTTTCACGAATGTACTATATCAATATACCTGGGCGTATATTGAGTGCATTTTGAATTATTGAAATGGCCGATGCTACGCTAAAGCCCGATTTTCACATTGCAACAAGGTGCTGCAATGATGCCCCGGCTTGATGCATTTTCTAGTTGGTGCAATTTGTTGCGTGACTATTTACATCAATTAAAAGTAGGTTGTGTAGTCATAGTCAGACTAAATATCACGAACTGAAAAATAACCTAACCTCACTTTGTTCTTATTATCAGGATTGTGAATAGGATAATTCTACCCTTGGCAGTTAAGATTTCTTTTTGGTTCTTTTTAGTTTTTTTTTTTTTTTTAGTTTTAGTTAGTTCTTTCTTGGAATTGTGATTTACTGAAAATATTTCATTCTTTTATTCACTACTGGAACCGCCCGTTCACAAGTACAGTGCAAAACGCAAATTACCCATTCCAATTTTCCTATCCAAATAACTCATCAAGTGCTTAACATTAACTTACTTTTACATTATTTTAAAAAATAAAAGTTTCCAATTTTAATTTGGTAACACACAAATTGATAATTCGTTGTAACTTCTTGCTTGAAATTATAACGAGTTTTAATTTGATGCAAACCGGATGCAGACGTAAAGACCATTTGTCATTGGAAAATTGACAATAAGGCTTGCAAGACTGCAGCAACAAACGGCGAGTTCAAAACCTCTTGCAATTAAAATATGACTACCAAAATCAACAGACAACCTAAACGTAACCAGCATATAATTTTTCAACTTGTAGTTCCTAACTTTGAAAACGAAGGTAATAATAACACCATAGCAATGTGGATTGTTGCCACAAAAGTCACTATTGAAGTCATGTACTTACATTCGCTGACAGATTAAAATCAAGGGTTTTTCACTGTATTGTCAGTCTTTTCTGGGTAATTTATCTCAACCTGGTTGTTTAAGCTCGCAGTGATTCCCAATTTTTCCAAACTTTCGCTTAAATATCTCTAAAACTGCGAAAGATGGAACGATACAATTCAATCCCTGCAGTTGTCATGTCAGATTTCGCAATGATACTTATAATTTCTATGTTCAAAGACCTCCAAAATTCTGAGATATCAGGAATTTTATATTAACAATTCCAGCTTTGACAGGTTTAATAATATTTGCGTTCCGATACTTCTTACTGAAAAAGCGGTGATGCCGTAGATCAGCAATTAATTGAAAAATTTTTTGAAATTATTTGAGCTTACTAAATTATGATGTGTGACATATAAGTGGTAAATCTGGAAACATTTTTGAATTCTGCATGTCTAAAAGCCCCTAGATATTTTTGGAGAAATTTGAGTATTCCGGTATTTTTTATATATTTATATATATTTTTAAATCATGGCGTTTGTAAAAATTCTCGAAGTTAATTGACATAAAATTTTTATTTATCATTATTTGTGTATGAATAGTTGGAGTGTGAAAAACGCATACTTTTGATATGAAAATTATTATTTGCCTTTTTTTTTAACCATCCAATCTAAGTAAACGTTGAGTTTGGCAAAATAAATAACTCAAGCCAACAGTGATACGGTATAGTCAAACTTATTCAAAAATAAATATACAGGGAGTATTTTGTAACAAATGATCCACACTCACATCCCAATAAAGTTTTAATGAAAGGTCATGGCGAATAACTATATAAAAGAGCATTCCATTTTAAAAAATCTACGTTCTTATCCATTTCATTTTTAGACGTGCCTTTGAGCTTTTCTTTTTCACTTTTAATTAAGCTTTCGTTAACTAATTAGTCTACAGTTACATCGGCCATTTCTGAAATTTAAGCTTTATGTAATTAAAATTTTGTCGCCAGCGTCTTGACGAAATATCTTTTTACAGTTTCGAAATAAAATAATTACATTTTCAAATGTTCAACACAACTTAATCATTACGAGACATCGAAAACTTCAGTAAACAACAACCATACTTCAAAGGTCCAAAATTATTTGCCGAATTTTATTTCAGTTGCAAAGAATATCAAAACCTCAACGCTTTTTGCGCCATTGTAATGGGACTCAGCAACGTAGCAGTTTCGCGTCTCTCCAATACATGGGATAAGCTGCCTTCAAAGTTTAGAAAGCTTTATACCGAGTTTGAATCTGTGATAGGTCAGTAAGCAACGCACGAACGCAAAGAACTTGACAGTGTCACTTTCAATTTTCAGATCCCAGCAGAAATCATAGAGCGTACAGGGTCAGCGTCGGAAAATTACAGCCGCCAGTCGTCCCGTTCATGCCTCTACTGATAAAAGACATGACGTTCACCCACGAAGGGAATAAAACCTCCCTGGAAGGGCTGGTCAACTTCGAGAAAATGCATATGCTCGCTCAAACCATGAGGACCATTAGATTTTGTAGAAGTAGACATTTAGGTAAGTAATCTATTGAGATCACTTGTTAGATGAGAAAAAAACGGTAGTAGAGTTCTCCCAACCCTATACAGTTTTTACGACATAATCCGGTATTTAACTTTGGTAAATTTTTATGAAGGTCTAACCGCAGGCCTACTTCGCTTGGATTTTTCTTTATAACCCTCAATAAATAGATTCGCAATTCCACAATGCCATTCCAGAACTGTAATTCGGTGCTTCGTGCATACAAAAACTTGTATCTCATTGATTGTTTTGTAATAAAAACCAATTCCATTTTCAATTCCATTCAATGTTCAATGTTAAAATAATATTCTTCTGATACGCATCATATATCAACCGTCTCACTATTCCTGCCTGGTGCATGTCAAGTAGACTTTTTAGGGCCCCACGATCTTTCCGCGTTTTTCGTTCTTGAACACCATTCGCAACTATGTCACGTACTGTGGGATACAGTGTTTTAGTCATCATGGACGTTAATTTCATGGCTCCACTTTCTCCCGATGTCGATTTCAGAAACACAAACATTGAACATATTGAATAATGCTAGTATTTGGTAAGAAATAAATTGTAATAAAATCTATATGGTACCTCAATAAAAATGGCACAAGAGTATACCGCCTTTATTGGGGTTGTCCTAAAAATGGGTACGATAATCTTATCTAATTTCCAAGAGTATTGGTCACAACATTCTAACACCAAAATACCTTTTTTAGTAGCATATTTACAAGAGAACGGTTTTTACAAATTTACTTTAATTCCACATATAAGTTAAACAATATGTGTGACAGGATGCATCCCGGAGTAGTTCAAACTCCTCTGTAACACTGTTGATTCCAATACAGATTTTGGATTATGCGAATATCGTTATCATCAATGGCATTACGAAGCAATTTGTCGAGTACTTCTTGTACTGTACAAAGGTGTTCATACAGAATACTGCCTCTCTGGTGTGGAGGACTCGAAGTAGCAGTTCCAGAAGATGACTCATGAAACTTATAATCTTCTAGGTGTTTAAAACTCAGCAAAAAATAGTGACAGTAATTATGCAGCCAAATTATTTAAAGGCACTTGCACACCACTGCCGCATTTAAATTTTAATATAAAATCGGTTTGCTTCAGGATTTGGCGCAAGAGTTGTGACATTTTTGTCGGGTATTTGGATTTTTTAATTTGGTTTTAAACAATTGTTCTAGACTGTTTAATTTGTCAAATAAACAAGAAAATTTCCTGTAGCTAATTTTATTGTTATTTTCTATCTCAAAAATGTTGGGGAGACTTAAATTTTGACAAGGTTTTGAATGGGTTGATTGCAGGGGTTTTAGGTGTTATATAACTTATTTTCTGGTCTTTGGATGCTGGTGTCATTGGAAGGGTTTGTTGTACTTTTTAAATGAATGATTTGTTTCATTACAGTTTTGGATCCCCCTTCACCGAAAAGCGAAGGCGAAGTAAAATCTTACATTTCGTGTTTACGGGTAATCGACAATCAAAGGATTTTGACAAGTATGTCTCAGAAATTGGAACCGAGGAGGTCTTAGTGGCATTATATAACTCAATGAGTAACGACTGCCTACGGCGGAAGAGGATGCCTGTCATACGCCTGTCCGTTTTATTGGGTGTTCTCGTTAAAAGGATCTCAACCTAGTTATGTGTAGACAAACAACCGGAATGCGTCACAATAATTAAAATTCTTTAATCAGTATTCTTGAATGGACCACATCTTCAATATTTAATAAGCGTTACTATTACTTTTATCTACAGGACGAACCCGCGAAAATAACCAAAAAATAATGTTATTAAACCTCGAGTTGTTTAGTACAAATAATTAAAAACTCTCCGCTCCTTGGTCTAAAATTGCATAAACGTAGTTGTGCATTAGTTATATGTGTGTTTTTTGTGCCCCGAATTTTTTGTTCAAATATATGATCCTGTAAAATAACGAACTTATATCAAAAAAATATTTTTGTGACACATTTTTTTAAGAATCTAATACGCACACTTTTACGTAAAATAAGACACAATTTTTTTATTGTCGGTGTTTTGTATATAATGTATGAATCTTTCAATAGCGGTGTAAGTATCCGCAAGTAACTGTGAAAGCTTTAAAATAAAAAAGATTGGCGAGGTAAGTTATTTATAAAAGAGAATAAAAATTATCAAAGAAACGTAGCACTGTATCGTAGTTACCTAAAAACTATTAATTTTTAAATATCGTCCGAATAAAATCGTTTGGAACCATAAAGCAATAAATCTTTTGTACATAACAAATTCACGCGATAGCACCATAGTTTAAAATGCATGAATTTCAAATTATCCAATGGAATTGTCTATATTTATAACCTTTTTCCACGTAGTGAGTCCCAAACATTATAAACCCCCATAATAAAATTAATTCGATTTTCATGAAGCCATATCTATAAAAACAAATATATGGTACCACAAGCAATGCATATCCACACATTAACCGTTCAACCACGCCATAACGAAAATAATCAAAATTTTGGCATATAAATAAATCGGGACATCCTTGGTTGGATATAAGATTTGTTAGGACAATCAGTAAAATTAGGATGTTTTCTAGTATTGTGCAACATTATAACACGGTAGAGTAGCAAAATGTCCGCAATAGAAAGAAAAATTTTTGGTATACCAATTTCGCTGACATTTGATGCACTACTAAAGTGGGCGTCACATTTTCACACTGGAAACAACGAAATAGTTGAAAATTACACACCCTTCAATGTACAAAACAAAAACGATATGTGAAATTAACCCATATTAGCAGTTCAATTAAAATTAAAATCCTTAACAGGTTCTTCAAAACTTATTAAAATCTATTACTTTTACTTGAAGTAAACAATTAAGATGTAGTTCCTATAGGATGAAAAATAAACCGAAAAAAATAAATAAACATACCAAAAATTTTTCTCAAGTGTAGATTTAGAAAAATATTCCTCTTTGCGTACTAATTTTAAAGTTTTTAAAGAGATTTCATGATGTGATATGGATATTTATAATATATATTTTAGTTCTATACATATATATTTGTAGTTGGTAGTACCTTTTTGATTTTTCTATTTGATGCCAACGAATGTTGGTGAATTGTAAGGAAAACACTCCAATGCATGTAAAAATATTTAATTTTAAATCTCCAGTATCTTCAAAAAGTCCAGTATGTTATAAAATTTTTAATATATTATGAAGGTGTAATATAAAGAAAACAATAAAATATAAAAATTGTCTTAAAATGATATTTGTTTTACCTCCATATCATGAAAAGGTTGCAAATTGGCTCACCAGAAAAATCTTTTCATTTAACATAATTTTTTCACAGTCATTTATTAAACTTTTAAATTTAATTTAAATTAAATTATTAAAGTTAAATATCTATCTAACTACACAAGAAATCCATGTTAGATGCCCATAACTAAAAACACTCACCAGTAAACACTAGGTTAACTCTGCCCCAATAAAAAAAATAAGAAAATTGATTGGCACGAAAATGGTATTAGATTGTGAAAATAGTATGTCCAACTGCATAAAAACAAGCTAACCCATGAGCTTGCGGTATTCAATAACCAACATGGTCGCTGACAGTTCATCAATAAGTTTGGATGCGGCATCCAACCAAATCCCATTAAATCTTCAAGCAAAAGTAGTTGAAAGTGTGATACATGTTTTGACAGAAATTGGCGACAAGGGCAGATTGCTGGGTGAAATGTTGAAGTATGCGCATCAATTTTTAGGCCACTAATTGCTGAATTATGTAATCATTAATTATGAATATAAAGAAAAAAATAAATATTCAAACTGCTTAGGTAACAGTTTTAATTGGCTTCACAATGGGTAAGGATGAAAGCCAGAGTTCATTAAACTTTTTGGCACTTGCGACGCTTCCACAGTAATTATGACTAGGTCAAAATGGATTATTTTTAAGAATAACAAATCATGTTCTTTTTAATTTTATTTACATATTTGGTTTACATTTAAAAATTAACCTAAAAGAGTTGGTTTTACTATGAATATAAATGAAATTCAAGAGAACCTGATATCATTATACTCAAAAAAAACTAGAATATCTAATTTTCAACTTTGTTGTTAACCGCATTGTTATAACATATTTTTAAAAATAAACCACTGTAGGCATATATAAAAAATGGATTATTAATTCTAAGAAAAACTTAACTCTTAGCCACTGCAGCCTTCTTCTCTCTAGCCTTTTTACCCTCTGTTAGTTCTACTCTCTGTGTTTCTGTTAGTGGGGTTAAAATCTTAGTGACTACACCAGTACCTAATGTCGTCATGCCATCCCTGAGTGTAAACCTTATCCCCTGCTCCAATACCATTGGTCTCAACATTTTCAGAACAAGCCTTAAAATAAATATAAAAATAAAAATTATTCACCAAAGTCGGCATACTAAAATCAGTAAACTAAATTTAATACCTAGAATCTTCCCCAGGCATAACCATCTCTTTATCAGGAATTGTAACTTGAACTGGACAATCCCATGTTCTAGAGAACATTTGCACCTGGATAAAAGGAGTAATTGGCTTTACCCTACCACCTTCTTCTTTAGTTAATACATAAACCTGGCTTTCAATATGATCATGGCTTTTGACTGTTCCAGGTTTGGCCATTATCATACCTGGTAAAGATAGAATTTTGATTTTTAGTTACTAACAAATCAGAATATCAAATCCAACCTCTTTTAAGATCATCTCTCTTGAGGCCCCTAACAAGAGCACCTAGTTGGTCTCCTGCTTGAGCTTCCTCCAAAATTTGATGAAACATTTCTACTCCAGTAACTGTACTTTTAATAACTTTACTGAATCCAACAAATTCACAGTCAGCACCTTTTTTTAAAACACCCCTCTCTAATCTACCGGTGACCACAGTTCCACGACCAGGTATTGAATAGACATGCTCGACAGGTAACAAAAATGGCTTATCTAGTTCCCTGATAGGAGTGGGGATGTTAGTGTCAACAGCATCTAGTAGTTTTAGCACAGCGTCCCTTCCAATTTCTGGATTTTTTCCTTCCAAAGCACAAAGGGCTGATCCACAAATAATTGGGATTTTATCACCATCGAATCCCATTTCGGTCAACAATTCCCTTTAAAAAATATATATGTATTAATATTACCCAATCCCATAAACGAATAATTACATGAGTAAAGATAGCAAAAAAAAATCCTTACCTAATTTCCATTTCCACCAATTCAACCATTTCTTTATCAGCAGCATCAACTTTGTTAATAAAAACCACAATATTTGAAACGCCAATCTGTTTGGCTAAAAGTAAATGCTCTCTTGTTTGAGGCATAACTCCATCAGTAGCCGCGACAACCAAGATTGCACCATCCATCTGAGCAGCACCCGTAATCATATTCTTAATATAATCTGCATGCCCAGGGCAATCGGTATGCCCATAGTGCCGTTTTTCCGTTTGATATTCAATATGGGCAACATTTATTGTAATTCCTTTAAAAAAAAAAATTGTGCACCATTGTAGCTTTCTAGCCTAATCTTACCTCTTGCTTTTTCTTCAGGGGCATTGTCAATATCAGCATAACCCCGAGCTTTTGCCAATTTCTGCTCAGACAAAACTTTCGTCAATGCTGCTGTTAATGTTGTTTTGCCGTGATCCACATGACCAATAGTCCCTATATTGCAATGCGGTTTGGACCTCTCGAAAACCTTCTTTTCCGAATAAAATCGCCTTTGGCTGCATTCTGGTACAAATATTTGGAGCGCCTTAGTTTGATTACCAAGTTTGGATAGCGATTTTTTATTCAATAACGACCGGAGACTTCGATGTAGAGCTAAAATTAAGTTTATAACCTACAAATTCAACGAAACATTCTAGTGTTACCAGGGACAAGAATACGGGAAACCACAATTGAAGCCATAGAAAACTTTGAAACTTTCGACCAGATTAAGTTTACATCAATGTCAGACAAAAGCTGTTAAAGTAATGTTTAGTATTATTTAATCACGTTTAATAATGGCGTACCGGTCAAATAAATTTATGCTCACCGAAAGCCACCAGAATACCACAGAATCCAAAATACTACCATGGATGAATGTAAAAATACTTTGAAGTTGTTACAGAACATGAAATATGTGGGTTCCAGTAAAACATCTGTGAGTAGCACTAGTAGGCAACCACAAATACTGATCTATACAAAAATGCGAGTTGTATTTACTGGTATTTAAATAATTTTCGAATTTTCTAATGTACCAACCGGACAACTGAAGGAAAGACATCGCTTACTTGAGAAAAAAATACAATTTTTTCCAGGTTAGCAGAGGCAGGCATGTAGCCTCTGCGTCAAGGAAAGTACTTAACAGTATATATTGTTTTGTTTGTATGAATTGAACGAAGCTTTCCGATATACAAAAAAAAATTGGAACATTTTAAATTCTGAGGATCCCTTCAGTCCGGTAACAATCTAGAGCTTTAAAAAAAGTCACTAAAATGAGGCAAAAGCTTCCATGGTCATGATTATAAGTTAATTTGGCCCAAACTATACGCAAAGACATTATTTGGTACTATAAAAATGGAAGGCTTTCAGAGTTTTATTTGGATAATTTATTTTATGTTTTTGTTTTATATGCTCTCTTCTGTCAGTAACAGAATAACAGACACTAACCAAAACTAACCAAATACTTGCTAGAAAATAAAGCAAATGGGGCCTGTAACTGAATTCTGCAACCAATTATATACTTGCTTATTTGAATTAATACTTTGCCCCCGTTGTGGTAGTATATATTATCACTTCAGAAAGTCTTTGCTTTTGCTGTATTTGATATATAGAATATATTTGATAAGAAAGTTAATGATCACTAAACACTTATTAAGATAAAACGGTGATACAGATGAATATCAGAGTTACCAGAAAAATGATACAGCGCTATAGAACTAGTCTAAAGAACATGCGAATGTTTAGTATAGTTAATGTCATTTTTATTTTTTAAATGTGTTGGCAAGCGGATAAGGTAGACGGGCAATGTTCTGACCCGGGCAATAAATATTTAGGTTTATTGCGGTTAGAAATTGTAGCAAACCCGATTTGTATTTGCATTACCTTCTTAACAAAATATAAACCTAGAAAATATGAAAGCGAGGTAACCCAAAAATTCGCAATATAGATAAAAGAAAAATACCTACCTGTAAAATAAACTATTGGAACAAGACTAGGTCGTGAATATATTTAATTTTACTTAGGTATACATTTATTTCGTTTTGTTGAGATATTGGTGAAAATTCAAAATATTAATGTGTTATCTGATCAATATCTCGATAATTGTTGAAACAGAAAATTAAAATCTTGGAGTAATAATATAGATGACGATGAAGCAATTTATATTACCGAAAACAAAAAGTTCCGGAGACACAGTAAGGTAAAATGCCAGATAAGAAAGAGTAAAATCTCCCGTTTAAGGGGTCAATATAAGTACAGCGTACAGAGAAGCAAACTTTAACGTCTTTTTCTCAACATTAACCGTGATTCGAACCGAAACACTATCTGAAATTTTTAGTGTGATCTCTTGGCTGCGGGTTATATGCTACCTAGATCTTTTTCTCATTGTTTTATTGTTTGTCTTGAGCGTACGGATGTGCATTCTTCGACTTTTAATTGAAATTTATTGTCTAATTACCTAACTATATGCGCGTATTATTCTTTAATTACCCTCTTTACCGCACTTTAAGAAATGCGGTTAACCTATTGGCATTATGCATAAACACACAGTCTTCTGGAAATGTAAAACAAGGAAGAGAAAAAATTATTATAGAACGCTTGTTTAGACGTTGATTCTCGTAACTGTTCTCGTCCGTGCCCGTAGATGGTGAGCAGTTATTCTTGAATAAAATTATATTAAATCTACGTCAGGAAAGTTTGGTTTGTCAATACCTAATCGTATGTTCATTATTTTCCGATTGAAATCTTCTAGTGCGCAGACTTTCCTAAAATAATTACCACCTATATATATCTCACATAGAAAACGAGATAATAACCTACCTAGATAAAACAAAAATATGGCTAGCTTTCGTGGGTCTATGTGTTTCTGGTTTATAATACTAGATAGTATCTACTATTGCAGTGTCATACATTCTGCGAATTTTAAGTCTCCACTCACTTTTCGTCGTTTTCTGGACGAGTTCCATCAAAATTTCAAAAATTTGGAATGGTCTTCCGATCAAAAAGTAATGTTTTTGTTGGTTTAATTTGACAATTGATACGAAGTGCCAACATTTTCGTAACTTTTTTTGTAAATTTAGACGACCAATTAACTCGACTTCATATCGCCTGGAAGTAAAAGATAATATCAGATAATATCGTTATCAAATATTCAATACTAAAACGATAATTCAATTTACAAGTTTTCCACTGCAGACAACAAATTGATGCGTCGCGTCCGATTGGAAAGCCAATTTAGTAAATTCATTAAAAGTTAAATGGTCTAGATGTTTAATCGATCGAGTTTATCTCGCGATAATCTATATAAATTCCACCGTAAACAAAAACATTTCTCCCGCAGTGAAATGCGAATACAGGGCGTCTCTAAAAGGTGCCACATCGTATTTAATTTCCAAACCTTAATATGGTTTTACTGGTTTTACTCTTGTAGTTAAATAACGCAGTAATGAGATGAATAAGACATTCACTAGTAGTAGCGAGCAGGTAGTGCCATATATTAATTTTTTCAAAAAAAAAATCTAAAAGAGAAACTATGAAACGATAGTTTGTGTTTCCTTTTTTGACCAAAGATTCCTTTCTTGGACAGTTCAAACTTTGAATCAAACATTTCGGAAACCGCTGATAAAATAAAATTTCATCAGGTATAACTTGTTTAGGTACAAAACGATGAAGTTTTGCCCTTTTAAATCTATGCCAACTAACGCATGTGACCCTATCTAAATTTCAACATACAAATTAATTAACTATTTTGAAATTTGTGGTAGCATATTTTCCGCACCTCTTAGAGACATCCTGTATAACTTCGGGGGTAAATTTAAACTAGCATGGGATGGACGTGCAAGACAGAATACAAATTGCTGTCATTTTCAACAAATTATAATCATTATTTTCAATAATGGTCTACGATGTAAAAATCCCCATAGCAAATGACGTGCAAGATGCAAAGCAACGGTAATTCGAATTGATGGATTAAGCGTATGTGCGTAATATTCGACTTCAAATAATCACGTTATTTATTAATAATTAAAAATTTATCTCAATTTAGATTTGAAAATTGATAACGTTAAGTTAGTTTTCAATTGCAGTAGCATTTAAATCTGGAACATTTTAAGAACTTAACATGTTTAACACTCCTTGATCGTCAACGCCTTCAAAAAATAAAAAACAATTTATTTGAATACATATTTGCTGTGTTAATAGACAAGAACTTGAAGTCTCCTAGCCCTCCTTATTTAAAAGATAAACTATAAGGTTGTTCGGAAAGTCATTTCGTTTTTTCCCGTCAGAGGACTTAATTACGTTTTTTCGTAACCAACTTCACACTTAAGCCGCATAACCATTATATGTCTTGAGAGCTGATATTGCAAGGCTTGTGTGTGAAAAAGTTCTATTAATTCTACGTAGTAGTTTTTGGTTGGTGCCCTTTTAAATATGGAGAGCAATAAGCAGCATTTTCGTCATATTTTACTTTTTTACTTCAGAAAAAGTAAAAATGCTGTCCAAGCGAGAAAAAAATTGACGGATGTGTATGGAGAAGGCGTGTTAACAGTACGCCAGTGCCAGAACTGGTTTGCAAAATTTCGATCCGGCAATTTTGATGTCGAAGATGCACCACGGTCTGGAAGGCCGGTCGAAGCTGACTGTTCGACTGTTTATGGCCATTTGAAAGGCATGGGCTTAACCTCGAAGCTCGATGTGTGGGTGCCCCATGTCCTTACGGAGCGAAATTTGTGTCGTCGCGTTGATGTGTGTGATTCGCTCCTCAAACGTCAAGAAAATGATCCATTTTTGAAGTGGATTATTACTGGGGACGAAAAATGGGTTGTATACAACAATGCTAAACGCAAGAGGTCATGGAGCACAAAAGATGAACCGGCTCAAAGCGTGTCAAAAGCCAACATTCATCAAAAAAAGGTGATGCTCTCCGTTTGGTGGGATGTCAAAGGAATCGTTTTTTTTTAACTTTTGCCGGACAATACAACGATTAATTCAGAAGTCTATTGTCATCAACTGGACAAATTGAATGATTCACTTAAAGAGAAGAGGCCCGAATTAATCAACAGGAAGGGTGTAGTGTTCGACCAGGATAATGCGAGACCTCACACAAGTTTGGTCACTCGCCAAAAACTTTTACAGCTTGAATGGGACGTACTGCAACATCCACCATATTCTCCAGATCTGGCGCCTTCCGACTACTATTTGTTCCGGTCCCTGCAAAATTTTTTGGATGGCAAAACCTTTACCTCAAATGAAGATGTCAAAAACCACCTGAACCAGTTTTTTGCCAGCAAGGACCAAAACTTTTATGAGAGGGGAATTATGTTACTGCCAGAAAGATGGCAAAAGGTGTTGGACCAGAATGGCCAATATATAATTTAATAAAATATTTATTCATTATACGAAAACTGTCTTCCATGTTCCCCAAAAAAAACGAAATGACTTTCCGAACAACCCAATACGTACGCTAACTGTGCCTCAACACAGATCTGCTCTTTATGAGCGGGGGTTTAACTATAATGCGTCAAAAACTTTTAATCAGCCTTTGCTTTATCATCTTTAAAACTGTTTCGAAAGAACATTAAAGGCGTATTATGAGATAAATAAAGTGCTGATTGGGTTTTTCGTCTTTTAATTAATCATAGAATTATTTCTATATTTACTTACTTTCTTATAAATCGGATTGTCAAAAAAGTATATATAGATTAATTGTGTTGGGTTAATGTTGAGTAGCTGACTTAATCAGCTAGACTTTGAGATTTTAGTATACTTGCATACTTGTGTATTATGTATATTGTGTATCTCATTCTGGATAACTGGCAGGGTGGCATATCTGTAGGGGGAAATATGAGCATACAGACGTATACCCGGGACGGCCCAGCGTACAAATGAGTCCGTTCTTCAAGAACTAAATACTGAACTAAATCTGTCAAAGACGATAAATCGAAGCTTTCTAATATTCATTGGCCATATTGCAAGAAGAACGGACTCGCTGCAACTACTAATAGTCGAAGGAAAGGTAGAAGGAAGACGGCCGCGCTTTGGCGGGAGTAACTATGACTCTCTTAAGGCTTTTTGGCTGGGGAGAAGTAGTTGCTCGCAAAGTGTGGGGGCTTGTTAAGCGACCGCTGGTTTGGGGGCGCGCGAAGCTCTGGTCAAGCATCTTCCGCAGTCCAAGTCGTTAGAGGTGTCGGGCCGTGCGGTACTAGTATCCGAGACTTGGACTCCCCCTCTCTTGTATGGCCTGCTAAGACATTGTTGGAGTCGCTTGAGGTGTCGGTTTCTAACTAGTATCCGAGACTCCCTCTCCCCCATGCAAGTGCCAACCCCCCCTCCTCGTGGTAACTGCTGGACACTGGTCTTGAACACCGGTGACTAAGTGGGGCACTGGCTATGCGGGCGGCGGGCGTAACGCTCGAGTGTGGGGTAGCCACCCACTGCTTCCGCTAGGCGTTTAGGTCCCAAGGATTGCCACCAGGGCATGGGCTAGTGTGAGAGGGCGATTCGCTACGCCTGAAAGCATCTGAGGACGGAGGTCAACTAGGCCTCGTTCAGCGGACTTGGTTCTGGTCCCTCTTGAAGGTGTGAGTATAACTCGTCAGTGCGGTTTGGTGGCACCTCCGCATATTGAAGCACTAGTCCTGGCCTCGCCAACCAACACCATGGCCGTTCTGAAATGGAAACCTACCGAGCGGTAGGCAGAAGTATGCGCGGAACAACCCCCCAATGGGAGAACGGCGTCTGGAGGGTGTACGCTTATGGGCAATAGGCGGGGGGGCTTGCCAGGCCAGCCTCGCCTGCCCAAAATTTGTGCAGGCACTAAACTTAAAACCCAAGCCTCGGATGGACCTTCCCGGGGGGGGCCGCTGCCCTCCCCTCCTGCTACGACTGGTCGACCGGAGGAACGCGCAAGCGGACCTTCGAACCCGACCCCGCGGCGGGCGGGTGGCCCTCAGACAAGGTCGAAGGCCCTTCGAGGTGGGTGCAATGTTGCTAGTGGACGTGCGCAGCTGAGGCCTGACACTGCGGGACCAAGTGGGTCTAGTAACGTGGTGCAACATGGCCGCGCTGTAGCCCTGTCTACGACTAACCATGCCGATCCCGACGGCGTAGCCGGACCGACGCGGGCAGATGAATTTCTCTGTCCACTATGCGGCCGATCTTTCACTACCAAAACCGGACTGGGAGTGCATCGGAGGCGGGCACATGAGGAGGAGTACAACGAGGGGCTCAAAGCGCCCAGCGTCAAAGTACGCTGGCAGCGCGAGGAACTCGAGCTCATGGCGGTCTTGGAGGCGGAGGCAATACAGAAGGGCGTGCCCTTCTTGAACCTCTACCTGCTCGACAAAATGTCAGGGCGTTCGCAGGAGGCCATCAAAGGTGCTCGGCGGCGCCAAGACTACAAAGCCATGGTTGGTGAAAGGCTTGCGGAGCTTCGTGCGAAGCAGCCGATCCCAACGTTACGCTCAACATCGAACGCGAGTTCTGACGGCCAAGGTCAACGGCCGCAGTCACCTGCTGACTGTAGTAGTGCCTCGTCCTCCTATGGATCCGCCCCGTCCACCCCCAATAGTCCGGCGGTAGATGATGGTGAAGCCGCGGGCAGAGCCGAGGATCCGCTGAGGGCCAAAGTGAGAGAGCTTGCGGATGGGTTGTTCGATACGGACACCTACTCTTGCAATCTTCTTCTTACGGCGGCCCGAAGGGCCTTGGAGGGAAGACCGATTCTGCACCAGCTGACGGAATGGCTACAACGATGTTTTCCGACTCCTAGCGCGCCTGAGTCTCGCACTCGGCGCCAAGCTCGACCACCTGGCGGCAATGGAGAAGGTGGACAGGAAAGGAGAAGAGAGAGACGCAGGCGTGAATACGGACACGTTCAGAGGCTTTGGCGTAGGGATAAGCGAGCCGCAGTACAGGAAATCCTGGAAGATAAGCCCGTAGTTTCCCAAGAGCTAGAAGTCCTGCATGAGCACTGGTCGGGGGTGATGGGGGCCGAGTCGCAGCAATGCGAGCTGGGTCCACGGGACCACCCGCCTGAGATTCGTGCAGGCCTAGCGGCGGTTTGGGAACCGATG